ATGAAACCTTAACACGGGTAAAGTATATGGACCACATGACAACCAAACCAGGGAGATGTAATTTGTTAGAGCACAAGTTTCAAATAAGCACAGACCAACCATTGTAGGATATTCTAGACCTATTCCATTCACACTGCGACCAGCTGTCAGAGAACAAATTAACCAGATGTTGAATGACGACATCTTGGAGATTAGCGCTTCTCCCATCTTAAACCCACTAACAGTAGTTAGCAAGGAAGGGGAGAGATCAGAATTTGTATAGATGCAAGGAAGATGAATCAATTTACCGTTCCAGATCGTGAGCGCGCTCCACCCTTACAGGAATTACTACAAAAATTTAATGGAGCAAGTTATCTCACATCCTTGGACCTCAGTTCAGCATTTTTGTAGGTTAGCTACATGAAGATTCTAGAAAATACTGTAACGTGTTTCGTTACTGAAGACGCCGTTTGGATTGTTAACTGGTTTATTTAACAACCTACCACTTACGGCTACAATTAATTACAACACTGTTGCGGGGTTTTACACTTTATAACCCTATTCGCAATAATCAATTCACTCTGTCCTCAGTAGTCTGCATGTATTCGCAGTACGGGAGCTATGTAAGTGTCCCTGTATTACACACTCTCAATTACATAATTACACACATGTCCGGTTCTTCTTTCCGCGGCGGCTGCTATATTCCAACTCAACTCGTAGGCTGCTGCCTTGAGAACTCACTTCGGCGGCTAATACACTTTTTTTTTTGTTTACTGCTGACTGGAGAACTGTCTTCGGCCGCTGATATACTTTCAACTTGTTTACTGCTGACTGGAGAACTGTCTTCGGCCGCTGATACAATTTTAAATGCCTTCGGCGGCTGTGTAGTTCCCTTATATAGTCGCACTGTTTGCCTGTTATGTAATGAGTACCGCTGTTGCCTGACGCCGTGTCGACAGCGGCGTTGCGTGCCATGTCACAGTGGAGGGGGGACGGAGCGCTGACTCACCTGCCACGTCACCGTGGCCAGAGCTGCCACGTCACTGCTGGGTAGGGAGGGGATGTCCTCCATTGCGCAACATGTACAATATACTGCATTTTTATTTGATTCAACTGTATATCAATTTAAGCGAGTACCATATGGTTTCAAAAATTCATTACCAGCATTTATCCGAGCGATTAAATTAGCAATGGGTGGGAGTAGCCTGGAGGACGTTGTGTTTTACATTGATGACATCCTTGTTTACTTTAGAACCTTCGACGAGCATATGAAGCATATAGATGCCGTTCTGAGCAATCTTACCAAAGATGGCTTCACCATAAATGCAGCTAAGTGTCGTTTTTGCAGAGATGAAGTCAAATTTTTAGGACACCGGATAAATAGAACAAGTGTATCTGCGGACCCTGATCGGGTAGCAGCCATCCTAAATTACCGATCACCAAGGAATAGTAAGCAACTGCGCCAGTTCCTTGGGACTTGTCATTTCCATAGCGGTTCATTATAGGTTATGCAAATTATGTTGCACCATTGACGCCTCTATTGAAGCAAGGTGTGAAGTGGGTATGGACGGAGGAAACACAGGATGCGTTCCTGAAGCTACGTGAGCTTTGCACGTAGTATTCACCTAGTCCACCCAAGTGAAAATCTACCTTACGCCATTTAACACAGACGCAAGCAAACAGGGAATCAGTTCGTTTCTGACCCAGGAGAGCGACTCAGGTGGAACCCTTATCGTCTCCACTGCTTCTAGGGTGCTATCACCAGTGGAACTGAGGTATTCTACCTGTGAACAGGGGCTCCTCGCTGTAGTATACGCACTTCAGAAGTTCCGGGTGTACGTGATAGGTCATTCCGTCAGTTTATTCGGACAATACAGCTTTGTCTTTTCTGAAGCGTTGCAATTTAACTTCTAGCCGTGTTACTCGCTGGGTAATGCAATTGTGTTGTGTTGTGTAGTGTACACAACACACAACGCATAGGAAACATCTAACCATAAGCCTATACAACCTCAAGCTGACATCTCCCATCTTCGGGATGAATTAACAAGGAGGAGCCTAACATTTTACTTCAAATGTTTTAAATTTTTAAATATTTTAACATTGACGTTTTAACTTGAGGGAAATTTCGGATGGAATGTGAGAGTTGAACGTGCATTCAACAATCCTAGCAAGTGTTGTGCTTTTACACATCGACATATTGTAGCAGCGTCCACGCAGCATATATACTGTGTACATTTTAAACAACGACAGTGGTTTCATGATTGTACTATGTGCCTCTGATGATGGTTTTATTAAACCGAAACATGTAAGGCAAAAGTGATAAAGATGTGACCTAAAAATTGTTACACTCGACGGACTTTCTATTGACTTTGTGAAGCTCAAGGATCACTATTTCCAGGCAGTGATCAAACCTAAAGTAGTACTTTCAGATCATCGATCGCAATTTGCGAGTCCTGCATGGCAAAAAGCACTGGCAGAATTGGGTATCCAGTGTAAATATTCTCCATTTCGACATCCAGAAAGTAACGCCACCGAACGCATTATGCGCGGACTGGGCAAGTACTTTAAGATTTACTGCAATGAAACGCATAAGAAATTGCCATAACTTGTGCCGTATATCGAAAATTGGTTAAATTCCTCCATTAGCCAGTCTACAGGTTATGCTCCCATAGAATCATTAAATGGACAAAATAGACGCGATATTTTCCGAAATATATTAAAGAACGAAGCAGACCAATCCCCGAACGAAGAACCCTTGGCAGACAAGTTGATTAAGGCCTATGTCAGAATGAAATTAAAGGCTGAAAAAAAGAAATAAGAAACGCAGAACAGGTGGGACCCAGTGGAATCCCAATTTAAAGGAATTAGTATTAGTGAAGTGCCAACCAGCTTCAGATGCGGTGCAGGCACCACTATAAAGTTCCAGAGACCCTACGAGGGACCCTACCTCATTCAGAGTACGATTAACCCAGCCATTTTTTAATTAGCTGATACAGAAGGCCGAATAAGGGGAATCTTTAATATAAAACACCTCAAACCCTATTCGTCTGAGGAAAATGACGAATTGAAGCAATAGCAAAGTCTGAATACCGATTGTTTGAAATTACAGCCGAATAATAAAAATTTTGGGGAAATGTAAATAAACACAAGAATTAATAGTGGGAAACAGGGTAATCTTGAAGAAGAATGAATCACTCGCCCATTTAAAAAAATTAAGCGATTAATGAAAGTTAAATGAAGCAAAAGGGATCACTACTAAACACTACGGTATTCTCATAATGAATGGCACAAACTTATTGTCATAGCATAGACAGAGAGAATTGTTACGTGGTGTGAGAAGCCCGAATGTATCTGGGCGACCCATGCCAATGAGGTCACTCACTTCAGAGAGAGAAACAAACAAAGAAACAAGTGAAAACATGTGAATCAGGCAACTGATTTTAACTGGCTGAGGACAACCGAATGAATAAATTATCAGGAAGATGCAGTGAAGTGTTGTGAAGTGGAAATGAACATGGGAAGCATAAATAAATAAATAATAAAGAAAGGAAGGAGTGAAAGGGACAGTCGAACAATATTGGTACAATTAATCATGTATGTGTTCGTTTATTTTTATTTCATGTATGGCTAGAAATCAGGACTTTATAAATAATTACTAATAATATGTAGTAGATTTAAGAAATGTAATTCTAAGACAAGAATAGCAAAAGGGTACAGGCTTAATGTTGTAAAAGTCTGTATATTGAAGGGCGATATCTTAACAAAGGTAAGAACCGGCAAAAAAGACGATTCTTGGGTTCATTTATTGCATGACAGAACCAAGATTCGCTTGGGAGAAATGTAACAGTTCCACTGCTATGCAACCTATTTGAAGGTAATTAATTTTATTAATTTGAAATCTTAATTGTTCACAATGGGATGCAATGAACAAGTGTAGTGAGCCATAGGCCCATTCTTGCATGTAACAGTTAGCGTCTTCCCACGCGTACAGCAGAAACAGGAAGACACCCCGTCGCAGGTTCTTAGAAATGTTACGTGAAAGTGTACCTAAGAAATCTTCTGTGAATTCAATACTTGAGAGATTGTGTATGCCATAACTTAAAATAAGGAAGTTTTAATAACCCAAGCCAAGCTTAACATTTGTCAAGATTCTGACAGAAAGTGCGTTGGAGCTCAGAAACCTAAATCCCTTGTACGCTTTAAACGGAGTGGAGGAATACCCCATTAATATACTCCTATTTTTCAAATGTGACCAATCACTAAAATTTAAGGGTGTGACACAGCCGAGACGCTAAAAGGAACAAGGACTTGATGGTTTGAAGGAAAGAGTTGTCGAAGTCAGTCACACACCGGGACTCGTAGGAACCAGACGTGAAGTCTCACACTCCGGCCTTTAAAGAAATCAGACTTAAAAGTTACACGCCGGATCTTGTAGAAACAAGAAGTAAAAGTATACTGGTGTTAGCCAGTTGTACCGTGTTAAGCAGTGATAAACAAGTGTCTAATAATAATAATAATAATAATAATAATAATAATAATAATACATCTGAAATTGAAATGTGCTTTTGTTGTTTGTGTTTATTTCTTATTTCTTGGAGTTGTGGCCCGTTCAAGGCTCTGGGTTAAGAGAAACTCAACTCTACCGAACCAACAACCTCACCTCTTTATAAATCAAATAACCCTGAGATAAATTTTAGTTCAAGGAAGAAGGTCATAATTGAGTTTAACAAAAAGGTAGGTGAGAGTGCACTTATATTACCTGGCTCTGCTTCCACACACTAAAATACGAAATCTACTTCGCTGAGACCATATGGGGTTAATCTCTACTTCACTTCCCGGGCAGAGAACAGAAATTAGCTACAGCTAACGAACCCAGACGACAGAAGCAAATAAAACTCCAGAGCTCTCGTTTCTTTAACAGAAACAAAACGGTATGAAAGGTCCAGGTATGGTCGGTTTAACAGTTTATCTAATTTTAAACACGGCAAGGTTAAAACTTTGTGTTGATATACAGTACTCACCATTTGCCGCTGAATTCAGCATCGCGCCGTTAGCAGCACAACCACAGAACCTTCGTACTGCACAGGAATACACAATTTCACCATTTCTTCAAGCATTAAACTAGGTTCGAGACATTAAGTAGTTTTGTATGAATTGCTGACATATTGCCCCAACACTTAATAAAAACGTTAGAACTGTGCTAATGAATTTCATTAATTTAAATAAGTGAAAAACTCGTGGATGTGACCACCGCAAATGGCTAGTATCACAGCAAATGTAATTAGAAATAAACAGCTACATAAAAATAACACTGCGTGTTGGTAACGTGTGTTTCAAGCTAACTGAATCCTAATTGCATTAATATACACAATTTAAGGTTTCACACAAACTGCACTCAACTTGCAAACTTAAAAATACAACTCACCGAAAGAACACAACACCGACCACTAACATCTAGTAGTGCGCAACAAGCAGGGCTACCAAGCGCCTCAATAGCAATGCGCCCAATTGCTCCCTACTCTTTGCATAATGGAGGGAAACTTATCTATGGACACGGAATGCGAACAATACAACCAGTGCCGAGTTTATGTAAACTTTGATGCAGTTAATCCCGTGACTAGGGAAGCTTATTGCCGGACGGGGCTTGAAGAACATGTCGTGCCAAAAAGAATCCGTTGTCAGTGGGAAAGATTATATGGTGGAGAGTTTGCGAAACGGTTAACTAAGAGCTGCAGCATGGAATGAATCCCCACCGGCGCCACTAATTTCAACACTACTCTTCACAGCCCCTCATGGTGTTATTATGATTAGTCTTCTGGGATGTGATGTCATATATGTAGCAGAAACCAACTTATGTGGCATAACACCCCCAGAAAACTGTCGTCATTCAAGGTACGTTTTGCATTTCTTAAGTCTGATCTCAGTGTTAAGCATAAATCCAATTTCCCGAAGCACTTCTTCCATAATTTATATAAAATACGATCAAAAAATAAATAAATCACGTGAACAATCCGCCTTATGGCGGAGAGCTATACTGGCGAGAGTAAGCTTTTGGAAGATCCGCCCATGCCATGCAGGTAAAACGATATTGGGAAAATTTTAACTCATTTAAAAAGGAATTAAAATCATTTTTGATGAAACATTCATTTTATTCTGTAGATGAATTTATGTTTTTTGATTTTTCAAGTGTGTAAATGTAATATATAGCTGATTAATTTGTTGTATTTGTGTAAAGACAATGAAATTAATGGTAACTAGATTTAGATAATATTATTCAGATGACAAACCAACTATATTAGGGTGGTACAGTGTATACTGTAAAGATATGCACAAGAGTTAGATGTAAAACTGACAATTTCCTTATCCAAAAGGTCATAATACCTGTATGTATGGATTGTTGAATGATAATAAATGATAATGATAAAGTGCAGTCCCTGGTCCACCAGGTTGGGGGGGGGGGGTTGGGCATGGGCATTATGAAACAGGAAACATTTACTGTTAGGAAACCATGGGGGAGACCAGACCAACACAGGGTTGTAGCACCAGCACAGAATAATTATTATTGTAGTTGTACTCTGTCTCATTTTAAGAAAGTGTAAACAACTTCCTTGCATCCCTTCTGTTAACAACACTTGCTTCACATAAGCCTGTGTTCTGCCCAACAGTGCACATGTAACCACTCATGTTGCTATGTTAGTTCACTGTTGTTACCAAAACAGTGAATAGTACAGCTTCAGATCTCTGTGCTGTCTTGCTCCACATTTGAACAGACTTTGAAATTCCACCTGTTCACACAGATGTTAATCATATGAAGTGTGACTAACCAGCAGACATTCACCATGGTTCCTGAAAGAAGCTCCTGATGCCATGGTTTCCAAGCTCTTAAAGAAATTCCACCTTAATTTAAATTTGAACATCTGTGAAACTTCTTTTCATATTATTGATGTAGCTGGTCAGGGTTCATAAATTCTAATAACAGTTTGCAGGATACATTAACCCTTTAAAACACAGTGGTTATTACATTAAAAAAAGTTCTACAGTTCACCCACACAGCATATTTATGGCTTCCACATAATTCTTTGAATAAAACGTGATTACTTCCCTAAACATGAAGGAGAGTCAGCAAACAGGTCTCAAATGGAAGTAAAACAGTTGTAATGGATGTAGTGGGCTTTCTATGTGTATCATTGGGTAGCAGCACAGTCCAGCTTCTTGACAGTCTAGGTAGCAGACTTCATGCACATGTTCAGAGGCTAGTTTCAGTAGCCAAAATGGTGACCATGCTTAAGGAGTATTCTACCAAACAGCAGCATTCTGTTGTGTGTTTCTTGTATGCAAAAGGACTCAATGCAAAGGATATTCATCAAGATATGTTTCCTGTTTACAGTGGGAAGTATTTGTTGCGTAAAGCAGTTCACAACTGGGTTGAGAAATTCTCTCAAGAAAGTTCGAAAGTCACAGATGATGCCAGGCCAGGTGCAGAAGTGGCTGAGACAACAGTCAAAAGACTTTGATGCACTGATAAGGCGATGGGACAACTGTATTAATGTTGGTGGAGGATATGTTGAGAATTAGATGTTTTTTCAGGTTCAAATATCACATCTTTTACATTTTATATCCATTTGTGACCTATTTACTTTACTCTCCTTTGTACTATTAACAGACTGGTCTTTGAAATGTAGATGCAGTGTCTTCTGTGAGGTTAGGAATTCAATTTTTAAAATATTATATTTATATAAATTTCAGGCTTCAAAGGGTTAACGGTTTCCTTCACTGACCAAACATTTACACAAAAAGTACAGCATGAATAATGTTATTAATTATTATGATTTTATTACAAACAGCAAAACAGGGCTGTCTGCTAAAAAGAAAAATGGACTGTACAGATTTTACTGGGGCATCTGGTAACCCTGAGTTTTTTCCCAATAAACTTTGACATCAGTGCTCAATATATATTTCCTCTATTATAATATATTATAGTACATATAATTTTGAACTACCAGTTCATCTTACTTCTTTACCATATTGTACACTAAAATGCATCCAGTCAAAATGTCTTCTTGAAGGCAGCTATTTCTTTTTGTACACATTTTCTAGCTTGTAAGCAAGAACATGTCAGTATAAATTTACATTTCTGAAGGGGGGGAAATCTCTTCACTTGTGGATACAAAATAATAACAGTAAAAGGAAAGCAAAAGAAGATACAAGACTATTTCTATATTACTCTTCACTATAAAAAATTGCAAATTTTACAATAATTCATTGCATGGCACAAGATACATTTACTCATTTGGTTAGTCATACTGGGTTATTATGCTTCTGAATTACTAACTGCATTCTTTCATTAGTGCCTGAAATCACATTCAGAAAACAATTGTAACAGACACATGCCAGAACTGAGCAAAGCTGAAGTTAGGACATCAGAGCATTTAACGATTACTGGAGTACCATATACACAAATATTTTCTGATGCTGAAAGCCAGCCCATCCTGTACCATGCCTCGCTTAGCCACCAGCACTGTAGACATGGCAGTTTATAGGCAAGATTACACAGATAGTGGATTACTCATGTAATCCCTTCAGAGTACATAGCACCTGCCTTAACAGTAGACAAACTCTGTGTATGGTCCACAGAGTGTACTTAGGGGTCCTGTATAACTCTGACAATAGTGATTTCTATTTCCGTTAACAGAATTAATTAGCTGATCTTTGTAACTGAGAGGGGGGAGTGTTCTATAAGGTAAGGGCTATGTTAATGTGTGGATTTGATCCAGTCTGCTGTAGGGTGTGGCCACTGTCTCAGACTGTATAATGTCCAGTGGTAGGACGACTGTTCAGTAACAAATGGGAAAGGATAAGGAAGGAAGCAGTCATGGCCTAACTGGGGCACTATCCCTGCATTCACCTAGACAGAGGAAACCTTGAGAAACCTAAGTTCAGATAGCCAGTGTCTGGCCAAGATTCAAACCGAGTATCACCCAAACAGAAGTCTTGAGTATTTACCGCTGTACCAACATACTGGGCCATTTCAACATGAGATTTCAGATTATTATGCTGGCGACTGTGAAGGTTAACTGTCTTATGGGATGCATCACAGTGCAGTCAGGTACACAGGTAACAAACAAGAGAGTTATCTTTGGTTATTTTAATATTTCAGACACTTGAATATGACTTCTGTGCTTATAATATACACTACTGGAGGAAGTTTAGATAGTGGCTGATATTCTAATGAACAAATTTTCAGGCTAATATGTCCCATATTTCCTTAGTTAATTGTCAGCAGAAACTGGCTCTCTTACTAGTAATCTTGAAGGCAGTTTAGTGCAAATAAAGTATGGCATGCACATCTTGCCACAAAATAATTTCAGAAAATTAGCAAAGAAAATTTTGTCTGTTGATACAAGTATGTGTTGGAAATATAGAGAAAGTAATTCTGTGGAACATAAGACGTGATTATACAGGAAACTTGCTTGGAGAAGGCTCTAAATTAATAATTATAAATCATGCAGTAATCTACTGATGAAAATGAAAGTTGATAACACTGAACCAGTTGCCAGACAACCCTTATGGTCACTGGGGACCAGGATGTAGGAAACACCCCTTATTAAGGCCACAGGATATAAAATGAGGGAAATAGCCTTTATCAGGGCCACTGAGGACATGTAAGCACGAAAACCCCCTTATTAGTGTGAGTGAGTGCTAAAACAGGAGAACAGCCGACTTAACGGTCACTGAGGAAAGTGTAAAAAGAGCCCATATCAGGGCCACTGAGTATGGGAAAGTAGGAGATGGCCCTTCTTAGGGCCAGTAAAGAGGCGTGTCATATCAGAGAAAGCAGCAATTTTTATTCTGGAATGGACTCTTCTACCACTGTGTGGATTAGTGGCTTCCATGAGCTGTTCAGAGGCAGGAAGCACCCTGATGACAGAGGCAGTTAAGTTCCTCCAAAACACTGGTATCTGTAAACAAGACTACATGGTGTCACAATATTTCTGGCACTGAAAAAATGAACAGCAGGAATTTTGAAACAAATATTGTAAGCAGATCACTGACATCAGTCCAAGAGAACACGAAGTCCTCAAATCAGAGGCAACATACGGGTTTAGTCTACAGCTTTAAATCTGGGTTTTATGCAGCCTTCCTTATGCTTACAACTGCCCCATGTATTCATATTATTATAATACATGATTAATGATCATTGACATCATGTAGATACATCTGGTAGATGTGAGCAATGTTTTGGAGGAAGAGTGAGCCATGTGGGGAGACAGAAAATTCAGTGACACTGTACAGTAAGGGGAGAACAAGCCTGCTCTTAGCCCCCAGTACTTGCAACTTATTTCAAGGTATTTTACAGTATTACTCCACAACCTCATAACTTAGGATAATCAACCTTCAAATTCAAGCTACACATGTTCCAAACATGAGCTTGGATAAAGGTATAATACACTACCACAGTTTATAACAATATGGGGTTTAAATTCACTGGTTCAAATTATACAAATTAAAATACCAAACAGATGTTCAATAATTACATAATAACATCACCCTTTCTGCCATTGTTTTTGGTACAAATATCCATCTCACTGACAATATGATCAGCTTAAACTGCAGATGTCAATGTCCTGCAAATACATGGGCATACAGTGCACTGCAACCAATCCTGTATGGCAATGATCAAACAGTTTAAATATAAAATCAATTACTGATAGAAACAAAATAATTTAAAACAGAACAACAGAATCAATTCTAAAGTAAGCATTTTTAATATTTTATGATTACTACTTAAAATAATATATAATACATCTTTAAAAATATATGAACATCACATTTATTACATAAAAATTCTAAAATATTTATGTGGTATTATAAACAGATAAAGTAAACACAGCATAAACAAAAAAGAAAAACAAAGCAGGCAGAAACTGGGTACACTGCATGAACACAGTTTTGACACATAACCCATGAACAGAGGACATCTAATTTGTCAGCTTAAGCAGTCATACCATAATACTGTATATGCAATTGTTCCTAACTTCAGCTTTAACTCTTCTTGTGAAGCAGTGCCAACTCTTTGACTCAAGTTAAAGTAAGTAAGTAAGTAAGTAAAGTGAAAACATTAAAGAAATTTCAGAAGACAGAAGAAGGAAAGCATGCACTGGTTCATTAAAATGCATTTTATTACACTACTAGTCAACATATTTAGGTTTCAATTTAACCCTCTTAAAGCATAGTGGTAACTATATGTATCAGCTGCTGTAGCATTAAAAAACTGTACACTTTTCCCATACAGTGTATTCGTGCATTTTATATGATGCTGAAATTAAGCAACAACTGTTTCCCTAAACAGAATTAATTAGTTGACATTTGTAATGGAAGTCCACACAAGGTAAGAATTCAGATACCAGAGGGGTGAGGGGTAAGACTTGCACACAGGTGTGTCTGTTATACAGACTACAGAAGTTGAGTGGACCTCAACACACAAGACACAAATTGAGGTGACTCAAGCAGTAATATTTCTGACTTATATTCAGGTGATCAGTTAGAATCTTGAGCAGGAAACTTGTTATCCTGACTCCTGTTTTCATGGATTTCCCTAGTCCCTCCAGGAAAATGCCCCAATAGTACCCAAAAGGCCATGGCTGCTTCCTTCCAGATCCTTTCCAATTCATCAAATCATCACATCACTTCACACACTATGCAGCCCAAACACAAAATAAACATAAACCAACACGTGACCATTGTTTCTACACAATATCCTGACATTTCACTGACAAAACAGGCCTGACTGGCTGTACCAGGAAGCAAAGAAGGCATACAAAAATTAACTGACTACTCTGTTAGATCTGAGGTTCTCACAAAGGCGATTTAACAGTCTTCCAGGATGTGATGTGGTGTATTTCAGAGGAACAGTTTACTTTCATCTTCAGGGTAAAGAAGTAAGTCATGCAAGAAACCATCATCAGAAGCAGGTGGCAAGCTCACCTATAGGGTGAATCGTATAGAACCGGCCTGATGAATTTGCTAATAATTCCGCAGATGATGCATATAACTGCTCGCAATTACAACATAATAATTCATGTGCCGTGCTGAGTCGAATGGTGTGCTCATGATCCGGCAAGTGGCAGCCCTTATGCTGCAAGGTCAAGGACAATCCCAAAATGTGTCTGCAGTGCGCAGGCGACAGTCATGGAGTACAGTGTTGAACAGCGAGTGTTTCTTGTGCCCACGTACTGTGTGACAGGCTCGATTGCGAACACACAATTGGAATTCAGGAGGAAGTTTGGAGTTCACAAGAAGCCAGTGAAATCGACTATACAGTCCTTGGCTCAGAAATTGGAAAGGACAGGGACACTTTTAAGTGAACGTGGTAAAAACCACCCAGAAATGCCAGAAGAAACGATTGCAATTGTGTGGGACAGGTTACTGCAGTCTCCCAAGAAATCATTACAACGTCTAAGCCAGGAAACTGGGTATTCTTATTCAACATGTCAACGGGCTGCAAAGAAAGCGAATCTTCGTCCCTACAAGATCACCAGTGTTCAGGAATTGGGTGATGTTGATAAAGATAAACAGGTACTGTACTGTTTATGGTTTCAGGAATTCGTTCACGATAACCCCAAAATTTTGGATATCACTTGGTTTAGTGATGAAGCATGGTTCCACCTATCAGGATATGTAAACGCACAAAATTCCAGGATCTGGGCATCTGAAAACCCACATGAGATTGCTGAATCACCACTACACCCACAAAAAGTTGGTTTGTGGTGCACCATTTCTGGTTTATGAATCATTGGACCGATCTTCGACACGACCGTGGACAGCACCTTATACTGCCGTATTTTTTACAATTTTGTGCAGCAGCTGGATGATGTGGAACTTACACAGGGGTATTTTAGGCAGGATTCAGCAACGTGCCACATGTGCAACATGTCCATGGAACTGACTGAGAGCTTCTTCCCCAATCGCGTCATCTCTAAAAAGATGTGACCCCCAAAATCCCTTGACCTTACCAGCCCGGATTTTTTTCTCTGAGGTTTACTGAAGGACAGGGTGTATGCAAACAAACTGTGTACGTTACAGGATTTAAAGGACAACATTTCGGCTGAAATCAGGAACATCACTGAAGAAACACTGCAGCGAGTCACGGCAAATATGCAAACGTGGGTGGAGGCATGCCTACTTGAAAACGGCAGACACTTTCAACACCTGCTCTGATCACGGCACACAATCCAAGATAAGATATGTGTAAATTACTTTAATATCATTATGGTATATTTTATATTACAGCTCATTTCGTCAGGTCGTTTCTATATGAATCACTCTGTATTTTCTAGCTTGTTCTTCTCTTTGAACCTGGAAGCTGTAGAAGCAGTATGTTTCACTGAAACATCAGGACCTCTTCAGACTAAACAGCATTACAACCCAGAAGACTGTCCTTTGACCATTACGTTCAATGACAAGAGTGAGACCAACTTAGCTTCCATGCCTTGCTCATGTTCACTCAGCACACCCAAACATTCTACGGAGCACAGTGCTTCTTGAGAAGCTTATGGTTGTTCAGTTTGGTTTCTACACAATTGGCTCAGATGGTGGTGAGGTTGTCAGCCTTATCCATTGGCCATCCTTTACCCCCCCAGAAAGATTCCTGGTACACATTTCTGTTAGAGGCTGAGTCGACCCAGAGCCATAGTGCGGCTGGAAGGATTAGGCCAATTGAAACATCGAACGACCCCATCAGGAATGAAACCCACAACCTTCTGGCTTGTAGCAGTGTGCCTCAACCCACTACATTACCATGTAGTGCCCCCCACACTTAATATAACTTACCATAATTAGAAAAGCAAGCGTACACACTACTGGTGTTGCATGTGAATATTCTCAATCCGTTACTTTTTACTGAGAACTTGAGTGCTCTATTGGGAAGCATTAAGCAAAATGGATTAAATGATTCCAAATGCAGCCATTGGAAACCAACCAACCAACCAACTTTTCACTGAAACATTTTCTGTTCTAGAAAGATGCCTTTAACAATCCTCCTCTTAACTAGATCTGTGGGCAGAGACACCCACACATAACTTAAGTTTCTTCAAAATGAGTACACCTCAGAATGTTTTGGTGAAGTCTACACCAGTCAGTCTCAACTTTTATGCACAAACATCCTATTTGATATATGAAGGTGGATAATAAACGCTTGGTCAAATAAGAGTAAAAAGAATCTGGGTTCTTGTTGCAATAACACAAAAAATTAATGGACCTAATAAAGTTTCGCTGTTGCAAATAAGTAAAACTTCCAAATAACCTGTTTCCTACTGCTGACCAAATAGATAAACACATAAAGATATAAAATTTACTCTGCACTCTTGACAATATGTACAGTACAGCCACGGCTGTTAAAAGTGACGCGTGAGCAATGTGCTATAGTTTTCAGATGCGAGTAATAATTACACGAATAACCTTAAATTTCTTAAACAGGGTTGCTTTTTACTCTTTAATGTTTTAGATACTACATACTGTGATACAATAAAACAAGCACATCCTGAGGGTAGAGCAGATACCTCTGCTTATGTTATGATACCAGAAAATTCTTGACGCCTTTCTTCCTTGAGTCTGTATGGCTTGTGTAACTGAAACACTGTAAAATTCTAAGATATTCAACTATATAAATTCCACTCACTATTGCAGATATGATCAGAATGCTGGTGAATGTACAGACAAACAAGACAGTTAGGGCAAGGGAGATACAATCAGTTTGCATATTCACCAGATTTAAATGTACTTTACACAGTTAACCTTAAAATCTTGACTAGCATGGAAAATGCATTTTAGAACTTCACAATAGTCAAGCTGACTGTTGTTTAATAAAGTTTGCATTAATTAATTTATAAAAACATCTTAGAACTGTGGGCAAAAATGTCTTTCTTGTAAAATAACTCATACAATGTTCCAGATTACTGAGCATATAAAAACTTTATGCTAAAATCGGTGTATGAAAACAAGAAAAATCAAAACAAAATGACACTACTATAAAGGAAATCCATGAACACTGTAAAAGCCTGGTATTATATCTACTTACTGTGTGTCCATCTCTATTTTAAAGAACATATTTCCCACAGTATTAAGAACAACATTTTTTCTAGGCCATGGCCAACATAAGAAAACTGTAGCATACACCTCACATCACTGACATAATTGTGGACAGATTCAAAATCTATCAGAGGTCTTGGAAGTCTCTGCCACCAAATACACGCCTCTGTGGCTCTGGTGTGTAGTGGAAACGTGCTCGGAAATAGTCAACACGCCGGTGCTGGGGCGACCCAGGGACGGAGCTGCTTTCTGATAATCGACGAGGTGGGGGTTGAGGTGGACAAGGTGACACATACCTATAATGCACATATCAAGGGTTAGAAGATGTTTGATAATTTCTCACTGATAAACATTTATTCTAAATCTATAGTCTCACAATATATAGGATGACATTTTCAGTTTGAGATGGGTACAGGACAATTTATTTTCCCCCCACACATTTATTATACATAATCTGCATAATCTGCAATAAATGTATATGTTCAATAAGTACTGGCTCGTGAATGAGTTATATCCAGTGGCTTATCTCTTATACTTTCAATTTAATTCTTGTATTGGGGTTTTACTCAGGTCACTGCTAGAGTTATGACAGTGTATTTTTTCAGTCTATGTGTAGGTTTGCTACTGTCTAGTAGGTTCACTGCTAGTGCGGTAGTGTGGTTTTCTAATTTCCTTAAGTATTTGGTATTCCCCTTTTTTATTTCACTGAGCACTGTTCATTTGTAGGTCTCCATGGATCCTGTGGTTGTTTATGTACCAAGGTGCATTCAGAATGGATCAAAGAGTCTTGGATTGAAAGTATTGGAGGATTTCAGCACAAAAATGTAGAAAGATTTTGGGAACTCTGACGAGAATCATACATCACTAGCCATTTTACCATAATGTACTGAAATATTATATTTGTCCCTTTTGATACCAGATCCATTTCCAGTGTTAAGTTTTCACATATCAATGTATAAAACACTGAAACTGCACAACAGTGTCCTCTTTCACTGTGGGTAGAAAGAGGGAGATGAAGACACTTAATTTTGTTGGCAAGTTGAGTCACGTGACATCCTGCCTGGCCAGAAAATGTCATTTTGATGACGATGCTAGTGAATGCTGATGTCATCATGCAGGATGTAGAGTGAGGACAAGAAAGAGGCTGCTTGTGCATTTGATCAAGTCATCATCATCATCATAATCAACAACCAACATGGAATTCTGTTGACATTCCCTGGCCAGACAGGATTCAGCACTGTAAATTTCTACAGCTCTGACTGATTTGGGTAGTTTTGACGATACTGTGAAAAGCAAAATAAGTTACCTGAATATTCTCAAAATTTGAGACTGAAAACTCAAAGTACTTTCTCAATGCAAATGTTGATGTCCAAGGCTCACACATTATTGATAAATATGTACGAGTATGATTCAAGCCAGTTGTGAAAGCACATCTGAGCACAGTATTTCACACAGAACATGTCCAAACATCATTCACAGGTCAGTTTCGAGGACTTTAATATGTTTTGTGAAGAACCCAGTAATGAAACTAAAACTGTATGCTTGCATAACTTCAGTCTCCCATGCACAAATTCCAGTTCCCAACAAGAAAGCTATCAAACTGACTTCCATATCTGTATGCCTTCATAGTACTATCTTCTGATACCTCGGACTCAATTTAAATGAGAGTAAACCAAGTTAAACCCCAAATGCCATCAGCTGTGGACCCTATTACATATACACGTACATGAGTGCCATCTTAGTAATGCTGTCTCTGTAACAGGCTGTGAAAGCCTATAGGGTTGTGAGACATCGAGGCTTCCCACAATTTCCAGACAATCGGCTCATAGATGTTGGTGAGGTCGTCAGCCTTACACACCAGCTGCTCTTTACCCCCAAGGATGAGTATCAGATACTCATTTCTGTTAGAGGCTGAGTCCACCCCAGAGTCATAGTCCGGCTGGAAGGATTAGGTAAACTGAAAAGATCCTGTGACCTCATTGGGACTCAATCCCATGACCTTCCAGCTTGTAGAACAGTTTGTCAAACAACTGCGCTACTGTGTGCCCCGTCATCTTAGTAACTCTCATGATTATAGCAGAATCAGCACTTGATGTGTCTCAATTTAGTATTTCCCCTCATTCATTTTTTAAATTTTCTCTTAACCCATTTCAATGACCTCCCCCCCCCTTAACTTGATGAGCCTGAGTTATGGTGACAATGATGTGTCAAAAAGCTTGGTGAACAGCATAAGTTACAAAGCTCCTCATTATACAGTTTCCTCCAGCCTCTTGTCACTTCATCTCCCCGGTCCAAATATTCTCCTCAGCACCTTGTTCCCAAACACCCTCACACTATGTTCCTCCTTTAATGTCACAGACCAAGTTTCACACCCACACAGAACCACAGGCAAAATTAGTGTTGTATATTCTAATTTTTATGCTTTTAGACAGCAGACGAGAAGACAAAAGGTTCTGGACTGAATGGTAGCAAGCATTTACCCAAATTCAGTCTCCTCTTAATTTCCTCCTGATTCAAATTTTCATTTGTTATGTCATTGCCAATCACTATCATAAAATGCAAACACAATGGGTAAGTCAGTGTAAGCCTGTGCTCACTGGTGTAAATCTTGTGATGAGTTAGTATCATTAATTACACAATTTTCACATAAATTATCACATGCTTACACTAGACAGTGCGAGTGACATTGTATAATCACAGAAACTAAGTAAAATAATGTAATTATTATATAGTGAACTTCACTCTCCATGTTAATGCCTGAAAATTGTTAGGTTCACACAGAGGAAATTTCAAACGTGTTATGTTACATTCATTACGCATTCAAGACATAGGCATCTCCTACCAACCTTATTTATTTTGCGGGCAAGGAATAATTCTGTTGTGCACTGCAATAAATAAAGTAACATTGTATGAGGAATGTTTGTTCACAGCAGAACACTCATATACGCAAAAGAACAGTGGTGCCACATCTTATTTTTATGCCCTCAGAATAACTTTAATCTGACAACAACATATATTGGCGATTACTCAAATAAAAGTGGGGGGAAGGGTTCTTCCAATTACAAAGTTGTCACTACAAAACGCTATAATACTTGTCTCATGGACTGTGTGGGGCCACTGAACCAACTTCAGACCTGCCTGTCAATATTTATACAACCTGTAGAGGGCCAGTACTAAGAGATATGACAACATGAAGGTGCTCAAGGCTAACCCATTCTTATCTACTGCCATATTCAGTCTCAGCTCCTTATGCCACATGTCGACCAGCAAAGATCATAGCACAACTATCAGTACCAACATTCCTGCGAGNATATAGGGGGGGGGGGTTTGATCCATGGGATCTCTTTCTGACCTCAGTGTACTTCCAATATGAACTATCCAGATTACAGAATAACTGTTAACACCATCCAGCGCAATTCAGTTTGTAGATATTTATCGCCTTTACATGATTTGGTCAGCTGACCGTCTTCAGAAGGCATTAGATCGACAAGTTCAGGAACTACTATCACAAAGTTCATAATACATACTTAGAAGTTTCTGTATAATCAGTTATTTGCCATTATTGGATTAAAATCTTATTAATGACTAATATTTAAGATCATAAACCGATATGGTTTGTCTTCTGTCTCTTCTGTTAAAACTGAAAGTTGGGGTATTATTTTGAGTCCTCGCAGTGATGCCCCCTTTTCAGCTTGTTATGATTCTGTATCGTTGTGATGTCAAGCTGCTTCCTCTTCACTGTGTTTTGAGGCACTGGACAATGTAAACAATTATTCTACAATTTAGTTTACTAGTGTGGTGGACTAGAATGAATATAGTTAAGTTTAAATTAACTATCCAGGTTTTCCCATATTTCTATGATGAATCAGACTGTCCCTATACAGAAGAAATCTGTCATGATGCCCTGATGAAATCATAATAGCACACAGTATTATGGAGAACAGCAGAAGTACATGCCTGACACAGAATGTTTTGTAGGATGCTGCAGAATTTAAAATACACTTTTTTTTAAGGTCTTTCATTCTGGTCCGTCACACTAACCAATTAACAATCAAGTTCCTTCCGTCAAATGTGACACTTTTTTAAGTTTTCCACCTCGTCACCACCTGCCTTACATGTTTCGGCTCACCACGGAGCCATCATCAGAGGCATTTATAGTAGAAAAAGAAATCACCAACACACAAAACTTCACTTTGTCCAAGATAGCCACGTTCCAGTTAATTAAAATAATTACAAATAGTTAAAATTACCCAGA